CAGGGAAGCTAAAAAGTTGAAATTTTAAATGGAATGTTTTCTGACAGTTCTGGTGGCCAATCTTAATTTGTTCAGCTAAAAGTACTTGTCGAAAAAACCGGTACCGGTAGCAACAGAAACTGCGGGGAACCATGCAAAAAACGCATCTTCGCACGTCGTGCGTTGGCCAATTATCGAAAACTAATGTGGGTCGGGACAAAAAAGTCAGACTCCTTCAGATTCAAAAGTGCGTTGGCCAATTATTAGATTTTAGAAAAAATTTTAGAAAAATTCACAAAATCGGATCCCTAGATCGAATGTCCGGGCGGCCACGATAAACATAAATATAAAGAAAAATAAACATGGAACTAAAGACGAAATGATATCAGGTTCAAAAACTCGTATTACTGTCTCAAAAAAGATGTCCTCAAAATCCTCGCTTCCTCGGTTCATTAAAAATTTACATCCTTCCTCTCCCAGTACCTCGTCCCTTCTTCGTCCCTTCCTCTCCCAGTCCTTTTTTAATTATCTTCTTTTAATGCTTTTTAAAAAAGGAAATGCACGCGAAAACATGAAAAATGCTAATGAGGCGCTAAATTTTCTATGATAATCTCTTAAAAATGCAAAACTAATGCACTACATTGTATAATGGCCGATGAGTACAGAAAATGATTAAGAAACACTAATATTTAATCCAGTGGCGCCATTTCATTCCCTTTGACAGCAGCCAAAATACATTAAATTACTAGGGCCGCTCCAGACAATCAACGTAGGGACAATGTGTAAGTAATGCTACCAGCCCATATGCCAGATTCGCCTATTTCAGGGTACCAGAGACTTACGAGTGAGGAAGTGTAATGTTGAAAATGTTAGCAATCAAAACAATCGTTTCATCCCACATCGAACTCGTGAACTTTGATCCATTCAGCAAGATCAGGCTTTCCAAACAGTTGATCGCCGATCGAGCCAACTGCTCATTTTCTGAAATCGACTGGAAACAGTACACTTCCCTTACTGATATAACTATCGTAAAATGCATAGTAGATGCTCCCAGGGAATAAAAACGTACGAGATGAAGTGCTGAGGACATCTTGAACCGGTTAAAGCAATCGCAATTACTTTTGTCAGGGGAATCGCTGACCTAGCAATCCTTTACGAAGACGAAATGAACGTCAGGATTAGCAACGAGCTTACCAACAGATCATGGTATCAGGCTAACTAACACACAGAGTGCGCTAGTTACGAGACCAGAAAATACTGAATAAACAAAAGCGGTTCACAAAAAGAGGGCAAAAAACAGGCCCGAAAGAAATAACAAACCTTGTTGTGCACACCAATACAGCTGCTCATAGATATTTGTTAATAATATAGTGGACAAAACTGAGTAATATTGCGTGAATACATCAACAACTGCATAAAGTGCGTGATTACATGTTGTTCGCATCCATTCACGTTTCTGAAATTTAGGCCAAAATAATAGGCACTTTGCA